CTGCCCAACTCTCCAGCCTGTCCAGGTCTCTCTGAATGGCACCACAGCCTTCTGGAGTGTCAGCCACTCCTTCCAGCTCAGTGTCATCAGCAAACTTGCTGAGGGTACATTCTGTTCCCTCATCCAGGTCATCCATGAAGATGTTGAACAACACCGGTCCCAGTACCGTCCCCTGAGGGACTCCACTAGTCACAGACCTCCAACTAGTTTCTGTCTCATTCACCACAACTCTCTGACTTCTTCCTTTCAACCTGTTTATGATCCACCTCACTACCTGACCATCAAGACCACACTTCCTCAGTTTATCTGTGAGGATGCTGTGGGAGGCAGTGTCAAATGCTTTACTGAAATCAAGACAAACCACATCTACCACCCTACCATCATCTATCCACCTAGTTACTTCCTCATAGAAGGCTATAAGGTTGGTCAAACATGACTTCCCCTTGGTAAAACCATGGTGACTACTCCTAATGACCTTCTCATCCTTCATCTATCTAGAGACAGTGCCAAGGATAAGTTGTTCCATCACCTTTCCAGGGATGGAGGTGAGGCTGACTGGTCTATAGTTACCCAGGTCCTCCTTCTTGCCCTTCTTGTAGACTGGAGTGACATTTGCTTTCCTCCAGTCCTCAGGCATCTCTCCTGTTGCCCATAACTTACCAAAGACAAAGGAGAGTGGCCTAGCAATGACCTCTGCCAGCTCCCTCAGCACCTGCAGGTATATTCCATCAGGACATATCGATTTATGGATGTCCATATGGATGTCCATCTGTCTGTTGGTACTGTGCTGGAGGGCCTCAGAAAAAGGTCCCCACATGCCCCCTGCACAGACAGCAGAGGAGACTCCCTTTCAGAAGATGATTCAGCCATGAAATATTGAATTAGGTTTTGGTGGTCATTGGCCGATCTAGCAGTATCATAGCCACATTCCTCACTTAGAGGTAATGGAACATGACCTTCACTGGGTGAAATAAAAGCTTCAGCAAGTCCACTGGGAGGTTAGCCAGGCAGGGGAAAAGCAAGGTTTTGGGAAGAAGCTCTGGCAGAATGAAACATGGGGTTCAGACTGCAGATTAAGATGCCCAAATGCAGGTCTATGTGTGGCTGTTGTCTGTGCACTTAGTCTAACACCTGCTACAACCAGAGATCAATCAATCCACTTCACTGAGTGTAGAAAACTCACCTTAAAGAACATTCCTATATTAGGCCTGTTGATTTACTCTTTGGGGTCCACTGACTGTAATGGTCAGCCCTTTATTGACTGTTAAATCCATCTTAATCCAAGAGATGAATCCTACTAATTATCTCCCTTCTGTTATGAAATATCATGGATGTGAGTTAAATCACAGATGTGTGAATACTGCACGTAAGTGTGGATAACAGGATTGCTAAATTACAGCCTATTTCTGATGAAAGGCCAAGATGAGAATAATCCACAATTAACACTGAAGCACAGCACATAAATGCCAGTAAAATAATCACCCTCTGAAAGCAGGCATATAAACCCATTTCAATGAAGGGTGAATTCTCACCCAGAGTAAACATACCAACCAGTTCCTTAGTAAGTGAAAAAAAGGGGGAAAAAATGGGCTTATTTCATCAGTGATGTTCAATGCTCCAGAATGGCAGGGACACCACATCCACCACAGCAGCATATCAGTGGTATAGCTCTGAAGAATGGCCTTTTCAAGAGAAAAGTATGTTTTTCATTAAAAACTAGCAGGCCACTGCAGTGTGCCCCAAATCCCTGTTTAGTCAGTCTATCAGGATGCAGGTAGCTTACTGAAACCATGTTAGAAGACCACAGAGCACACAGCAAAGCAGAGGGTGCAGACTCAGGAGCTGACAATGGCTGCACTGCTGCTGGAGGTGAAAGCAGCACCTTCAGATCTGAGACAGCTGCTCTGCACCTTCTGGAAGCACCAGCATGCACTGTATGTGCACAGACTATCTACTCCATGCAGACTCACAAAGTGAAAACTGGTTCTTTTTTTGAGATACCAGGGCCGGGGGTACTAAAACTATCAAACAGTTATTTTATAATCAGTGCCAGCAGCACTTGTTCTCCTGTACAGGAGGACACAAGGCAGCACAGCAAGAAGAGGAGAGTGAATAGACTTCTGCTGCAGTGAGGAAGAGTTGGATGTCCTGAAGATCCTCAGCATTCACCTGAGTGGTGGCTGAACTTTAGACCCTGACACATAACAAGCCTACATGGCAAGAGCAGTTTTGCTAATGAAGGATGCAGGTGGATGACTACTGGTCTCAATCCAGAGAACTGAAACAGTAAACATCATATACAATCAGAAATAGGTTTAAAACAAATTATTACTGCTGTCTACAAGATTCATTTACATTTAAAGCTGGACAAATTCAACCTGGACCCTTTTCA